CCCGTGACACGCGGCTTGACTTCGTGTGATTGCAAGAAATTTCAGCTACGTTTCTGGGCAATCACCGCCCCCTCTGGTAGTCGCGAATTTGCTGCTGATTCTGGGCTTGTCAATCACCTAGATCATGATGTCAGACCCATTCGAGCTTATGGAAGATAGCTGGAGTTTCCTGCCTTTACACCCGGGATTGGAGAAATGGATATCAATCGCACGATCAATCTATATGTTGCCGCACTAGACATTTGCACATGGCTTTGGCATAATGAATAACCCTTGCCCCATGAGCAACTTCATACTAACAGCGACCTATTGCCGATTTTCGATTGCCCAAAATATCAGACTTGCTTCTTCACGCTCTCTGCTCATTCAAGTGAAGAATGGCAGGTATGCTTCCTCTCGCGCAGGTGCTCTCTTGTGCGCTCGCGTATTCGATTTGCGTATAACCAGATTTCGGTAATTAAAACCCGCGTGTGTCGAACTCGATCCTCAAAGCTATGGCGGCTGTTCCGTAGATTTTTAGAAACGATGCTGCCGGGTATGGCGCTAAACTTTGTGAAAGGCCGAGTTCTGAGCGTTACACCGCGTCCCCGAAGCAAGGAGAACTGTGAATGATCATCTGCTTCCTTGGGTACGCATGCATCTAATTGACAGCCTGAGAATGCGAAAGATGTCGTGAAAATTTGTTGCTGGAATATCTATACGTGGCATTATCAAGACCCTTGCAAGCCCTACGGAATCGACTACTTGCACTACTCTGGATCTATCTAGCAGCTGTGCTCCCAAGTTCTTTCATGATACTTATGCTCAAGCCGTATGCTTGGCACCAATCCTGGAAGGCCTTTGTCGTCCCTATATTATGCTTCCCCGCGCTTCCAAGAAAGAAGACCCTTGATCATCTGTAAGGCTTGGTATAGATCATAAACACCTTGAATCACAAAGTCATTTTCTGCACGTCTGAAGGTAATTGGCCGACGTGGCCACTCTCAGTCCATGCTTAACAACTCAAGTAATTTTATGAACGTCTTGGTTAGAGTGAGCATAGCAGTAAGGATGCAGTGAGCATGAATAATTGTCGGACACTGTTCATCGGCTACCAAGAGCTCTCTGCTTGAAGATATTCAAGTCTTTGAGTTGCATAGAAACCTGCGTCCAGCGAGAAGTCGACGGGTCGTACTCGCCCCGAACCTCGACCCTACAGAATCCTTTGGGGCCTTTGAGACCAACTGGACCGACGATAAAGAAGGTGCCGCGGCGGGGAGTGCGCAACTCGCGAGCCCAGCAATCATTTAACCGCCATTTAAAAGCTCCTGCAGCCGCACGCAAATCCGACTCGGGGCCTAAATTCGGCAGTGGTAACCATTGAAGAGAGGATAGAACTGACGAGGGATTTAGCCATGGGTTGTTTTGCTGTGTTACTCTCCCATGGGGCTCATCGGCAAAAGATAGTTGAGACCCCGTTTTGTGATAACCAGGGGAACCGTCAATGAGCCCTGTAAACCCGGTCCCGGATGGCGGCATGACCAGTGAATCAGTACCAACTTGAATTTTATCAGATACCTGAAAACCGATGCGCGAAAGTTGTCTTTTCATTAAGACAAGATACGCGTCTCTTGCAGCAAGTGCCACAAAGAGAGGCTTCATGCATTTTCGGATACGATCACCGGTATCGGAGGACACTGGTCTCACAGCCAACGAAATTTCAGTATCAGCTATTTCTAACCTGACGATAATGAGTATATTAGTATGTGGCATTATGTTGCCTTTGATATGACGTACCCTGACAATGCATATTCAGGTGGGGCACGAGACGGGAAGTGGTGAACGAGCCAGAAACCAGTTATGGTCAGCGGTCCACCAAGAAGTTGAAGAAGTATGTTTGATGCGGATGCATTGCGCAGAGCTATGGTTGCTAGGTCATCTGGGCGAGTAAGCATTACTTCGAAAGGGTTATTACACTAGCTGGGAGATACCTTTCAACGACTCGAGCTTCTTGCCATCCCGAGACATACGAACGAACTCTCTCCACTCCGGGTCCGACGAGGAATAGAACTTGCCTTCACGCAGGCGCGGCCAACCCAAAGGAATGAAAAAAGGATCTGAGGTAGCAGCCTCCTCCGGACGGCTCACAGTTCGTTCAGTGGCCATAATCTTCTTTTCTGGAAAGTCTTTCTCGGGAAGAGCCTCATCCGGTGCGCTTTCAAGCATCTTGTCGTATTCCCCGAGGACATAAGAACCCCATACATGAAATGCGGTCCCATATAGCAGACATGTAGTAACAAACTTTCTGGCGACTCAGGTCAATTTGAGCAAAAAACAGGTTGTATGCCGTGCAAGGCACCGCAAAGGGGTGGCGGTCTACACACTTAAACCAAGGTCGTTTGAATCTCACATGGCGAACATTGACGTTGTTGGCATCGCTCTGGGAAAAAGAATGACTGGCACGAAAGGGTATTCGAAAAGGAAAGAGCCGTGGTCTCATTCGGAACATCTGGTATGATTTTGGCGCGGTCTCTCTAAGCCGAAGATCATACTCAAGGATAGGGATGGCAACTGATTGTGATCTTCGATTTGGACAGAAACGTCATGAAGTTTCGCTGGATATATGTCCCTTACAAAGAAAAATATTAAAGTGGGAGGTGGGCTGGAGAGGTGGAGGAGTAAAAAAAAAAAAAAATGTTAGATACTGAGGGTTTACACAGACTGCTGGGTCAATTAAAGCGATAAATTGTCAATGTCAGCCGCAGGAGCTCTGGTTAGGAATCGGAGATAAAACCGATAAAACCTACTCAACTTGAGTTTTAAGGTGTCTGATCTGATCACTCCTGCACGTGATTAACTCGTCATGTAGAGTACCTGAGGTCGTGCTAACCTAGCTAGGAGGCTGGACGTAGCTGCCAAAACCGAGTACGCCGATCTAGGTAGCGGATCTGGAGGAATCAGCCCATGATCTTTTGTCCAGGTTTATCAATCAACATGCACAAGTATCTTGGTTTTTTGGCTCTGTCAGCGACGTTTACATTGGTTATCAGCAATCCAGATGCATCCATCTTCGCACTAGATTCAAGCGCCAATGCAGAAGGCTCAGAGATTCCGTTTCTATCAAATGATACTGCCCGACGACTCCTGAGTTATCGAATCAGGTCCTCGACCACAGCAGCCCTCAGGACAGTTGACCGAGGTATTGTTGAGATTTTGGATAGATATGGAGGAATGCAGCCGTCGTTGTTCGGTACTTCAACTGATGACCAGGACTTGAGATCCAGTTTGATTATTCTGCATGGGCTAGACCCTGTCATTGGTAGGTCTTTCCAGACATACTGATACTGTGAAGCAACCACTCATTTTTCAATAATTATCTCGGTAGAATCTTCCATCCAAGAGGAATACAAGCAAGGCCTAGTCCACTGTGACTCTCGAGCTACGTTTTTGCATAACAATCCCCTCAACTGGAACATCGATGGCGAATCGGAAGATGATGCTGGAACAGCCGATGGATATTGCCTGAAGTACCTTGACAGCAAGGAAAGGAAACAGGAGAATGTGCAGGTAGTCGAAACCCGATATCGATTGCTGGCGCGGGCTGCATTAAAGAGGTATTCGAACTGACTTGCGATTAACCCTAGACACTCCTATCTTGCCTACCTAACGCGTCCGCTTTCAAGCCAGTGGCGCACGCATTTGGCCAACAACTACCTGAGTACGTAAATATCTTAGAATCATGGGTTAACGATCAAGACCCCTTGATCTTGAGGTTATCATTCAAGGTACTCCTTCGCCTATACCTATCAGTGCTCTTGTATTTGACAGACATTGCAGTCTTTCTCCGGATCAGTACGTCACGCAGAACTGCTTGGCTTGCTGAAATCTCTTATGAGTGATCTCCATTCGCTGTCTTCGAATGGTACAGCAGTGACTGTTATATTCATGCCAGACTCCCAAAATTCCCGAATGCCGCAAAGCCCAAGACGTCGTGGTAACCATGACGCCAAATCCTTACAGATTGACATGGTATCTCCGTCATTGTTGAGAAGGCAGTCGCCCGGCTCAACATCTCCGAATCCAACCTGCCATGTCACCAATTCATCTTGTAACGAAGCAACGGGCGGCTGTTCAGGACATGGGGCTTGTTATAGGAAGTCGGAGTCAAAGAGTGGACTTACCAACAATGACTGTTTTGTATGCAAATGCCAGGCAACAACCATCAGAAAAGAGGATGGTACGACCCAGATTATCCGATGGGGTGGAGCGGCTTGTGAAAAGCAAGATATCAGCTCTCCCTTTTTCCTTTTAGCAACTGTTAGCATCATGGTAATAATGGCGCTGGGCGGTGCTATTGGAATGTTATTCAGGGTTGGGCAAGATGACCTGCCGGGCGTCATCAGTGCTGGGGTTGGACCCACGAAAGCACAGGGATAAGAATTTCTAGAAGACGGGTTGACCCTATGAGTGTTGCTGCGAGATATTTGGTTGGGGGCGATGCTGTGCCAGTGTTCACTACACAAAGCTGTGGTGCTGCCATGTTTGCTATGATGTGGCTTTGAAACTGTTATTTTGGCGCTTCCTTTTTTTTTTTTTTCTTTTCTTGTGAGACTAAACTGTCAGATTCTCCGAGATCCTCAGGGTCTGACCTGCTAATACCTACATTGAAGACTACCAACATTATTTGGTAAAAACGAAGGCCTAAAGGAGAAACAAATCCATGCACATGAGCAATTGTTTCGCTGAAGCAAATCTCAGCGGCCCTTGGAACGGGCCTAGTCTCTTTGAGACAAGATGTTGATCGACGCCATCCAGGGCGGACAGAATGAAGTATATGGGGGGAGAAGGCAAAAAGAGTATCTGAGTGACTCTTTGAGTCCACTCATGGATAAAACCATACCGGGGGCATTGACCACTGTTGAGGCGAATTTCGGGACTCGCCATAATTCAAGCAAAGACGTTCATCAATCAAGTAGAGTCGAGGAGCATTTCGCCCTGCGTACGATATGACTAGCTGCGTTTTAAGAACGTAAGCCTGCTTCGACTTCTGCAGGACTCCGACTGTCACTCGGTTGAGAAACACCTATGGCCGTACCCGCATTCCTCGGTGCACGGTGCCAACTTGAGGGCGGAAGTCGGAGAGAGTTGCGAAAACGAGGGAACAGCCGCCATGATCCCCGGAGCTGAGGTCTGGAGTTTTCTGACCTCATGTCAGATGCATTGTGCGCCATGGACGAATCGACATTGAGTGCACCCGACAGCTGCGATGGCGGAATTCCCCCGCGTTGCATGAGTCGCTGAGGCAATATCGTTGTTCGACGAAAGAGATTCGATCGCCATCCTATAAAGACAGGCCGCGGTCGGCTAGGAGCATGCATTCCCACCATACTATGGCGATCCGTGCTCGTACGCTCTGCCGCAGGATCAGAGCGAGGTTTAGGAGTGAAGTAATCTGCTTTGCAGAGTGGACAGCAGGCCCTCCGACTTGTCAACCATGGGTCAACGCAGGATGCGTGGAAAGCATGACCGCACGTCAGCCCCCGTATGTCATCGTCATCCTCTATCGCATCAAGGCATATTGCACAGGAGTCTCCGGGAGTGGGATGAAGCTCGGCCGGTGTTGCAGTCCGAATGGGATGATCAGCGTCTCCGATGTCTTCCAACCCATGGTATTCACAACCGTCCTGATCATGTACGTGTTTCATCTCATGGTTGGTATACCTTGTTACCTCACGATTGTGCGTGCAATCAGCAAAAACTGGACGACCATCGGTCTTTTCGTTTAATTGAGCGAATTGTGTTCCAGTATCTGGTGGAACTGTTGAAGGCTGTGCGATGGCGGACCCAATCTGCCGCTGGCTATCCGTCGATGCAGGTTTCACTAAGGATGGCGGTACACTGGTATCTACGACCAAAGTGCCGTTCTTAATGTTTGGACTGTGTAGACTGTCGGCTGCGGATATTGCCTCTGCGGTCGGAATGTTGGCGTTTGCCCGCGTCGACCTCCATGCCTTGTACTTTGTGAGTGGAAACCGCAGATTAACTTCGTCCATGGTCATCAACTTCTTTTCCCTTCTTCGTCTATGCGTACGGGGCATAGTAACCAAGTCTATTGGTTCTCCCGTTTCTTCGTTTCGTAGCTGGCGATTCCGTTGATTATATCGAAAGCAATACTTGACACCAACGATGATCCTAGCAACAAACCTCAGATATGAATCCATGCGCACGAAGTGCAGACAATGCCTCTCTGAACATACCATAGATTCGTGAAGACGACCCCGAATCCAAGGGCAACAAAGAACAATAGTGGTGAACTCGTAGGGCTTGAACTGGAATCAGCAGCTCGATCGCTGTTTGTGGAGCCCGAAGGAGGAACAGGGCTTGTGGAGGACATCTTTGAGTGTAAGAGGCCACAATTGCAGGACTGATGTTGGCAATGCAGTATCGGTCACTTAACAAAAGCAAATGAACCTATTGAAAGGTGGGAGGGAGAGACCACTCCGATTGTTTATTCATTGACCGGTCAAAGACACGTAGGTCGCTGGCGAGTAAGATTTCAGTTCTTTCAAGACACTTCAAGTGAGTATAAAGACCTTGAAGGAGAATGATGCTTTTGTAGATGGCGATTGTGTATATCCACTCATCTGGGGGGGAGCGTATGACTCCAGTTACACTTAAAGCTGTGCACCCGGGGAGTCATCACTAAACATGCTGTGTTTAGGTCAACTTGCTGAATGGTTCTTCTCTATCGTCCTTCTTGACCTTCTCTGTTTCGCGCTGGATCCCTCTGTATGTTCTCATACTCTCCAAGGTTGTCCCGGTTTCCGTGTTGGGCTGTTTAAGGGTACCATGTTTCGCAGAAACAGAATTAACGGAGATGCTAGTCAAATGTAGTTTGGGTCACGAGGTCTCTGACACATATATAAGCTTAAGGAAATGAGAAGGATGGAAACATTCCTTTCAGGCACAGAAGAAATATACAGTATGAGTAAAAGACTTATTAATTTATATACATTCCTTAAGTCATGCTCTGCATCTCATTATTACGACCGGTAAGGACCAGGTTGTTAATAGACATTTATAGCTATTAGACTTCATAGACTATACTGTATGATGCTGTTCTCACCTACCTATATAAGTGCCTCAACATGAAGAGGAGGGAGAGAAAGCCGGGGAGGGACTGCTGTGACCTGTACATAATTAAATAGAAGTGTCCTTCCTTTCTATAAGGTACATTAGAAATGGATGCTTCAGGCACCTCAGTAGTTACCAGGGACAATATAGTTCGATATGTATGACTGGTGGCTCTCTATAGTAATGAAGAATATTAGAATGTACATTTCCCTTTTCAAGAGGGAAAGGTCTTTCCTTCCTAGTGTTTTTCTTCCTCTCCTTGTTTTCTTTTTTTACACTTTTTTTGGTGTAGTCCGTAGGAATACTCGATACAGGTTACTTCTTGTCATACCTAATCCATAGTACTAAATCACCACCAACAGAAAAATATGTAGGTTTACTACCACTTTAAACCAAAAATATCAGTAATTGTCTGGTATTCACCAGGTCGTGTTTTCATCACATCAAAATGGAAGATATTCATTCAGACCCAACGAGGACCACCAATCCAATCGTTTTTTTCGACATTACCCTAGGAGGTGAGCTTACAGTACCTGGTTTTATCTCAGCTTATACCAGAATGTGAAGGTGTTATTACTTGCACCCAGCCATTGTGTCCCCTTGACATGCTTGTTAGCATATTTAAATTATCACGGTCGATCAGATTCAAATCTCTATCTACCATGATCCCGTAACTGACAGTCGCAATAGGCGAGCCGCTAGGTCGCATAAAAATGGAGCTATTCGCAGATGTCACTCCTAAGACAGCCGAAAATTTCCGCAGATTCTGCACGGGTGAAAGCAAAAACTCCCAAGGAAAGCCCCAAGGATACAAAAACAGCAGGTTTCACCGAGTAGTACGTCTACAGTTCCTTCGTGTCGGCGCAGAAAGCTGATCCGAAACCGCTTTCAAGATCAAAGATTTTATGATACAAGGAGGCGATTTTGTCAATGGAGATGGAACAGGATCCTGTACCATTTATGGTAGCCCCAAATTTCCAGACGAGAACTTTGTTCTGAAGCATGATCGTGGGGGTCTGTTAAGTATGGCTGTAAGTTGACCCGGATACTGTTGAATTGCGGATGGTGCTGAGTGCTACAGAACTCTGGGCCAAATACAAATGGCTGCCAGTTCTTCATAACAACTACAGCGACTCCATTCTTGAATGGGAAGCATGTTGTGTTTGGGCAGGTAGTGGATGGCATGGATATCGTGCGGATGATCGAAAACACACGCACAATTAGGGATAAGCCAAGCCAAGATGTGATCATTACACAATGCGGAGAGATGTGAGGGTGTTCTGCTCTAAGTGCGTGCTTTTTCATATCCTAAAATAGGATGATAACCATAAAAATGATTAGCTCGTACTCAACCTGGTTTCATATACAGTTTGTTTCAAGCTCGAGGGTAAGGGCATCTAAACCTCAAGGTTCAGGTTCACCATTGCAGGGGCAAAACAAGACAGCGAAACTCAGTCGCACAGAACCATCAAAGCTTGAACTTTGCCAAGTAATCAGAAGCCAATGCAATTGCATCCTCAACCTTGTCCGGATGCACGCCATTGCCGATAGATGTCGAACCCTTCCCACCAGCTTTCCCTCCGACAGCGCTAGAAACAACTGCGGCCAAGTCGTTGGCTGAGGCCCCTTGGTCAAGCAATGCCTACGATGGAAGATCTTATGAGACATTGACTTCCGGTTGATGAACACGAGGGAAGACTCACCTTTGAAACGTAGCAACCATGAGCAACGCGACCCTGTTCCGAATCGGCGGCTAGGACGTAGACTGTCTTATCTTGTAACTTGGACTTAACATAGTTTAACGACTCGCTCACGGCTTTCGCGTTCGCAGAAATTGGAAGCCTGGTCACCAAACAGGTCTTCCCTTCGTTCGCCGGGGATTCGAAATATGAAATGATCGCCTCAAGCGCCTTCTTGGCCTCAAGTTTCTGTTGCGCTTTTTGTCCGTCAATGACTTGCTTGTTAATAGATGCAAAGCGCTCTCGAAAACGAGATTTCTGGACTGCAGAGACCGAGAGTTGGTTTAGTTCAACTTGTATCTGCTTGGCTTCCTGTTCTTTCTGCGGCCCCAAAGCCATTGCATCCAGGCGATCTAGCCGCCTCTCGAATTCTTTGGCAACTCGCTGTACTTCATGGGCGTCCTCCCCAGTCACGGCAATGATCCGACGAATTCCCTTAGCAATGCCGTTTTCTTCCAGGATGATTAGGTCCTTAATGTCTCCTGTCTTCTGGACGTGAGTTCCGCCACAAAATTCTATGCTGACTTCAAGCCAGCGAGGATCTTCCACATTCTTCAATATCTCTTCCACCTCCACACCAACAGAAACGACCCGGACGGGATCAGGGTACGTCTCGCCAAAGACAGCTCTAACACCTGAGATCTGGCGAGCAGTTGCAAGAGGAACTTCTTGAGAGTAGACATCACAGTTTTGGCGGATATACTCAGTCGATATTTCCTCGATTTTTTCTAACTCTTTCTCTGTGACTGCAGACTTGTGAGAGAAATCAAACCTGAGTTTTTCAGCAGCAACAAGGGAGCCCTTCTGCTCGACAGAATCTCCAAGAACTCTTCTGAGCGCAAAGTTGAGGATGTGTGTGCCCGTATGATTATTTCGGATGGGCCAGCGACGAAGTTCATCGTACTCACACAGAACAGCGTCACCGATTGAGAAAGAACCGTACTTCATGAAGCCAGTATGGAGGACATAGCCAGCGTAAAGTTGAACATCACCAACTTCTAGCTCAGCCAGTCCGTCGATAATGATTCTGCCGGTATCGTTCTCTTGTCCACCTTGTTCAGCGTAAAAGTTCGTGCGGTCCAGAATGATGCCTATCTGGTCCCCATCTGGTATCTGCGCTGTCGATGAATGGAAGTTCTTTCCGTGGTAAATCGCTTTGATTTCAGCGGTAATGTTACCCTTTCCGAATTTGGCGCTGTCGTCTGTTTTGGGAACGTCATTCATTTTCTCCAGCTTTCCCAGGTCATGAACATCCAGTTTGACTGTTCCTGTTGCCGACTTTTTCTGTCCTTTACTAGCCTCCTTGGCTCTCAAACGCGCTTCTTCGAATTCGAGGTCATCAATATTTAACCCACGCTCTTCCGCCATGAGACGGGTTAAGTCAACCGGGAAACCGAAGGTGTCATACAGGCGCCAAACGTCAGCACCATGAAGCTTGTCATCGCCTTTGATCTTTGCTTGCTGAGCATAGTTCTCGAACTGTCGCTCACCGCGATCTAAGGTTTTGGCGAACGAGATCTCTTCCTCATCCAATATTTCCATGACATCGTGTTGCTTTTTCTTCAGCTCGGGGAACATGTCTCCGAGCTGTTCAACGAGTGTTGGGACAATTTTCGAGAAGAAATTTCCAATCTCAACCTGGAAGTACTTTCGAGCATAGCGAGCACCCCGGCGCAGAACACGTCGAACAACATATCCACGACCATCACTGTTCGGCGTCACGCCATCTGAGATGGCAAAAGTCAATGTTCTAACGTGATCTGCGACAACGCGATAAGCCGTGTCGATGCCATCAGAATCATCGGCACCAAACATTCCTCGATATTCCCGGGCTCCGGTGACGTTCTTGATAGCATTGAAAAGGGGGGAGAACACGTCCGTATCATAATTTGACGGTTTGTCCTGAAGCACTGAGACTAATCTCTCGAATCCCATTCCAGTGTCGACGTGCTTATTTGGTAGAGGCCTCAAAGACCGATCAGACTCGCGATTATACTGAATGAACACATTGTTCCATATTTCAAGAACGTTGGGATCATCTTGATTGACAAGATGAGCGGCATTGCGGCCGCCAATCCGATCATAATGAATCTCACTACAGGGCCCACAAGGGCCCTGATCGCCCATTTCCCAGAAATTGTCCTTCATGTCTCCTGGAAGGATATGATCCTCTGGAACACCCGCAGCTCTCCACAGAGCTTTTGCCTCTAGGTCGGGTTCGAGTCCACCCTCTTCGTGACCTTCAAAGTAGGTGACATAGAGGCGTTGAGGGTCCAAACCGTAAACCTTCGTCAAAAGCTCCCAAGAGTACCGGATTGCATCTTCCTTGAAATAGTCGCCAAAACTCCAGTTTCCGAGCATCTCGAAGAAAGTCTAGTCAATCATTAATATCCCTCGTTAGCGTCGGAGCTGCTTCATCATGGCAAACTTGACTCACATGGTGGTAGCTGTCCTTTCCCACGTCGTCCAAATCCTGTATTCACTTTGATCAGACTCTGTTATCTCGCCTCTCGAATCACGCGTCTAACTTACATTGTGCTTCCCGCCAGCACGAATGCACTGCCATTGATTTTTAGTGACCAGTTTGATATCGAGGAGGGTTAGAGAGTGACCTTCTGAGAATTCACTGCGCTTTTCAGTTTTGCAAAATCAGAATGCGGATCCACGGTGCCCAGGAAGATGGACTTGAACTGATTCATTCCAGCATTTGTAAAAAGCAATGTTGGATCCGAGAGGGGTACGACAGGAGAAGATGGAACTTAACATTGTTAGTTGATTGATGAAGACGCGTGAGAAGCCCCAAATACGTACCGAATGTATGGCCATTCTGTCTGAAATAATCAAGGAATGTGTCGCGAACGCGTTTGGCAGTCCAGAGTGGACTGCCTTCGGAATCTGAAGTCATTCTGAAGGGTCGATAGTTCGTACGGTGTTGATTTTGTTCTGGGGTATGTGTAGTGTGAAGGTGGTAGAATCTTCTGGGGTTTGACCTAAACGGTAACGGCAGATGACTCAAGGCCATATCCCCATTTCTTGTAATTCTGGAAATTCGCATCAAGTAAAGGTCGATAATTCCTTGATCCTTCTCGGACTAAAGACAGTGGATACTAATGACTGATCTTAATATCAAAAAGATCACTTGACCGATAATATTCTCTTGCGCATGTCGTATCTTGGTGGTGGTTGGTGGTGTGAGTTCCTGATGACTGAGGCACCCCAGCGCGGGAAAAAGCGTCCCGCAGAAAATGATCCTGATGGTGACCAACCTCTGGCAAAGAAGTTCGGACTGCTGCAAATAGGTATGTTTGTCCAGTAACACTTTGAGTCTATCATCCATCATTATCGGCATTCAAATTTCGCTATATAGTCGTTACATTGACTAAGACTCTCATCCCATCTAGAACCGTGTTTGGTTGGCACACCTCAGATATGTGGGGGGGGTATATCTCCAACTCAGTCAAATTCAATTGATACGACTGAGCGGATGATGTTGGATGACACTAAGCATACAATATACATTCATGATCTTGATTCTGAGCTAGCAGATTCTGAGGCTCAGGAGTACTCAATCACCTTTTTGCCCGAAATTGGAGCCAAGTTGGGGTCTTTGCCGAAGTTATTGACTGTTGATACACAACCTCAGAACAACGAATTGGTCCTCTACAGAGATCCCAAATCTCTGACCGTTCCAGAGGAGGATGATTATGTGCGGAGAGCCATCCTTGAGTCCAGGAGACGAGCGAGAGCAGCTCAGACTCAGCGCAGGTCTGCAGAGAAAATAGTGAAAGAAGTTAAGTCGAATCTTGTGTGCAATGCTGATGAAGATGTAATGGAGATAGATCATACCATTCAATAAGTTCTGTATTTTATTATGTGACTTTTTCTTAGAGATGTATGCTTTTATAGTGGTTGTTGATACCTCCTTGATTTGTATATTTTTCGACCCCTACTACGTTTCGGCCTCGTCAAACTTAGCCTTGTATTTGGGGTCGCGCAACGCATGACCCCGCCATCTCAATGAAAACTAACATCTCAATGATAATGCATTTTCCCATACTAAACTGGATATTCGAGGTTGTATTATTCCTAATGAAACATATAATGATCAAAAATCAAGTAAAATTAGAAATTTAAGGCTGATTATATATTACACCCTAATACCAAGTTCTACTATATCCATATATATTTATATATATATATATATATAAAAAAAAAAAAAAAAAAAAAAAAAAAAAAAAAAAAGACCTCTGTATAATAGGCATATTAGATAGTATAATTTAGAGAGCTAATATTCTATATAAATTTAGGAATAGTAGCTAAATATATAAATTTATTACCATAATTTTACACAGAGTAATAATCCAGTGATATAGACTATAAAATAATTAATATTAGTATCCTAAGATAGCCCTAACTTAGTACTTTTTAATTCTAGAATTTTCAGAATTTTATATCATTTAGTACAGTAGATAATATAAGAAATATATGATTTTCTATGATTTATTATTAAAATATCAGTTTTTATTAAGATAGTGGGTAGAGTTGCATAACTGAACTGCTAAAATCAAATCTGACCCTCACTGAACTTATAGTAGTAAGGGTTTAGTTCCTAGCCTAGGGAATTACACTAATTTCAGTTTCTATAGGGTGGAACTAATTTAAGTTTAGTTAAAACTATTACTTTTAATTTTTAAGGTTTTATTAGATCAGATTAAACTAAACCTTACTATTTTACTTAGTAATTACCAATTCCTAGGATTTCTCTAAAAATATTAAGATCACTAGATAGCCTAGTATCTAGTCTATCTAGATGTAAAATATTAATTTAAAATATCCAGTAGTTAGTAGGATATAAGGGAATAATTATTTCTATTATAGATTAGTATAAAAGTAGTAGTAGGTATATATATATATTAATCTTTAATAATCACTATGGTTAAAGAATGACTTTTAATTATATTTAATCCTATAGACATTAAATTAATATTTTAGATTTAGATTAGTCTAATAATAATTACTATATATTTTATATAAGCATGTTTGATAGGTGCCTAATATAGGAGAAATTAAATTCTAGAAATTATTAAAATTAATCTATTTGGATTATATAAATTAAAACTAAACCAAACTAAATCTAACTATAGTTAATTAGTAATAGCCTAGCTAGGCCTAGTAGTAGTTTTCTATGGTTAAACTTAAACTAAATCAGAATGGATCAGGTTTGGTTCTGATTTCTAGAATTTAGACTTGAAATTGCAGCAGTTTGGTTCTAACTAGGTTTGGACTTGCCTAAACTCAGACTGAATGCAACTCTACTACTAATTAGAATATAGAATTATATCCTCCCCTACCTAGCTTAAACCCTATATATAGGTTTACTAAGAGAATAGCTATAATCTATACATATTCTAATTATTAGTATTTATCTTATAGCTACTCCTACTTAATATATATCTATAGGGTATATTATTATATATCTATAGGGTATAGTAGGTAAATTATTAATAAGAAGTCTAGATTATTATAGTATAACAAAGGAAGTTAACTACTAATTAATTTAGATACTATATAGTAAAGAAGTTATAGTATAAACCTCTAATATAACTATGAAGAAAGACTATATCATATAAGAAATAGAACTACTATAGTTACCTTTAGTCTCTATTTAATACTATTAATCTATGAATAACTAGCCTATTTTATGGGGTTTATAGAGGTAGAGTTAGAAGTATCTAGATAAAGAAGTATATAAGATATAGTAAGCTAAGATAAGTTAGTTAATATATAGCTTAGAGGGAGGGTAGATATTAAGATATAGATATTTAGCTTCTTAAGCACCTATTCTAGCTTTAAAGGGTAGATTCTAGCTACTATAAAGCTATTTTAAATATTTAGAGGTATAAAGTCCTCTAGATAAGCTACTAAATATACTTTAAGGAAGTTAAACTTATTAATATAGTTATATCCTAAGTATATCTTTTACTTAATAAGGCCTCTATAAGTATACTTTAAAGGGCTAGAATTACTAATATCCAGTAGTTATAAGAGATAAGAAGAATAGATAGATATATAAATAATAATAATATTATTATTCTTATAGACTTTATTAAAGCTAGATATTAGATAACTTCTATAGCTATATAAAATAAGAAGATAATATCTTCTAATTATATAGCTAATTATTATAAGAATAAGGACCTTTTAAAGTTATTAAAGATCTATCTTATCTATTATCTATCTATTTTAACTAACTTTAATTCTCTAATTTAGTAATAAAATATAATCTTAATATTATCTCTTAATATAAACCTTCTCTTTAAAGATTATATAAGAAGGAGTACCTAGCTATTAATATTAATATATTTAATTATTATAATCTATTCATAATTATCTAGTTAAATAAGATAAGGCCTTCTAGATATATTAGCTCTTATTACTATCTTAGTAATTATAATTAAGTCTATTATAAAGCCTATTTTATTAAAGTTATAGATATCTTTATAGAAGATACTATATTATATTTAAATCTATTATAGATAGTTAAACTATCTTTAATAATCTTTAGATCCTTATATTAAGCTTAGATATAATTATATTATTAAGTATATTAAGTTTTAATCTCCTTATACTAATTAAAAAAGGTAGATACTAAGTTCTTACTAATAGATTTAAATCTAGAGGGATTATCTACCTAGAGAAGGATATTTACTATTTCTTATATATAAGATAGCCTAGGGGGCACTCTATGTAGATCCCTAGATAGTATCTATCTTACTAATAATTCTTTCTATATAGGAGGTTAGTAGCTATTAGTATATTATTTAATTTAATATTAGTATCTATTAAGGTAGCTATAGAGGTAGATTTAGGTATATTAAATATCTTTATAGTATAATAAATACTTAAAATTTACGATATTTGGTAGCTGTCATTGTTTATACATAGCTAGTTAGACCTTACATTCCTTCTTAGCTCAGGTCGAAATATAAAAGGAGACTGGAACCCCTCAAAGTTGGCGGGACATGTACGGGGCGGCCGCTGGCCTACCCCCTACCCTCGCACACTTCGAAGGCTCCACGTCCACTGCGAATACGAATATTCCAATAGTAGTCTTCCCTAAGGGTATTTTAAGGTATCTTTATCTTTGTTTAATCTGGTGATTTAGTAGGGACTTTAGCTAGTTTAACTATCTGATATATTATCTAGGATATTAATAGGATTTTATATATATAAAGTATATTATTATATCTTTTACTTAGCCTAGCTAGCATAGTATAATATAACCTAATCTTTATATAGTAATAAATAATTACGTAACTCCTATCTATGATAACTATTATTATTAAAGTTAATATAGTATAGTACTCTTCTTTTTTATATTATTCCTTTAGCTACTTTAACCTTCTTAAAAATAACTTTATTAAACTTGTTAATAATTATCATATATTTTATTTCCTAACCTAGGACTAATAAGATTCTATTCTAATTTAGCTATTACTAAGAGTAAGTAAATCTCTAATTAAGATCAAGTAAATTACTAATATAAAAAATAATATATCTACTATCTCTATTCTTCATATCTATTAGATAAGCTATTCATTATCTTTATTAATTTTAAGTTATTAATATATAACTATTTTTATATTATAATTATTACTAGCCTTATTTAATAAACTAAGAAGTTAGATATAGTATTCTTTTCTAGCTTTTTCTAAATATTTAAGATTATCTTTCAATTTAACTATTAGGTAGTAGTTTAATATAGCTATACTTTATCTAGTAAAACTATAGAATTTATACTGTAGCTTAGCTATCTTAAACTTGATATGTACTAGGATATAAGCTAGTTGTATAAAATGATCTTAGGATTCTAAGAATAAATAAAGATAGCCTATGATAATTATT